TCAATTCCCTTATTCCATAAAATGGATAACATCATCTATCTCATTAGATTAACATAAAGAGTAAGAAAATATGTGGAAGGGCTTTACAAAAGTAAAATACTATGCAAATGTTAATTATATACTCCTCTTGAGCTGGAATGGTGGGTATGGAAAATGTCTATAAAAGAAAACTATGAGCAGCGTCTTGAAAGATTGATAGAATTTAGAAAGAAAGAGGGGCACAGGGAAGGTTTTCTGTTTGGATCAAGAACACAAAGCCCAGACAAAAAGAGCATAAAATGTATGTGTTACAGCAAAAAGACTGGTCAGGTTAAAGCATAGGATTTAGGAAGGCTCACTTTAGGAAGATGACCGAAGTTATGGTCAGATTGTTGAGAGTTTTGAATGTCTTTTTTTTTTTTTTTTTTTTTACTTACTGATTGCTTTCATGTTCTTCAAAAAGTGACTAGGGCGCCTGGGTGGTTCAGTCAGTTAAGCATCTGCCTCTTGGGCTCAGGTCATAATCTCATGGTTTGTGAGATCTGGGCAAGCCCCGTATCAGGCTTTGCGCTGACAGCATGGAACCTGCTTGGGATTCTCACTCTCCCTCTCTCTCTGCCCTCCCCAGCTTGTGCTCTCTCTCAAAATAAATAAATAAACTTTAAAAAAAAAAGTGCTAATTTATTAAGTCTTTGAAACAAAGTTTATTTTTTTATTTTTATTTTTTTTTTTTTAATTTTTTTTTCAACGTTTATTTATTTTTGGGACAGAGAGAGACAGAGCATGAACGGGGGAGGGGCAGAGAGAGAGGGAGACACAGAATGGGAAGCAGGCTCCAGGCTCTGAGCCATCAGCCCAGAGCCCGACGTGGGGCTCGAACTCACGGACTGCGAGATCATGACCTGAGCCGAAGTCGGACACTTAACCGACTGAGCCACCCAGGCGCCCCAAAGTTTATTTTTTTAAACAATATGACCAATGTGGGGCTTGAATTCATGACCCCAAGATGAAGAATCGCACCCTACCAAATGAGCCATCCAACTGCCCTAAAAAAAACTTTAAAAAAAAAAAAAATTTGATATTTGACATCTCTTAAGTGTCAATTTACTTTGAAGCTAATGAAATTACTTTCTTGGTTCTCTAGGCGTGCAGTGTTATTAACAAAGTTTCATTAATATTTGTAAGCTTCAAGAACACCAGTAAAAGATGTCAAACAAACCTAAAAAGGTAACAAGAGCTTTATCAATCATAATTCTTCCTGGACTACTTACTATCTGTACCGCCAGAATTTCCCAGCACTTTATCACTATAGTTATATTAGAATTCCCAATGATTTCAAGTTTTATACTGTGTCATTGCTTTATTTTACAATACTTTTCCTTCAGGAAGCACTATAATAGAATACACACACTCTATTTTATTCTACATTTTATTGATTTAATGGTCTTTACAAAAGAAATGATTTACAACAAAATTTTGAAAATTTCAAAATACGGTGGTACCTGGCTGGCTCAGTCCACAGAGCATATGACTCTCGATCTCAGGGTTGTGAGTTTAAGCACCACATTGGGTATAGAGATTACTCAAAAATAAAATCATTGGGGGGCACCTGGGTGGCTAAGTTGGTTGGGCATCTGACTTTGGCTCAGGTCATGATCTCACGGTTCGTGAGTTTGAGCCCCATGTCGAGCTCTGTGCTGACAGCTCAGAGCCTGAAAGCTGTTTCAGAATCTGTATCTCCCCCTTTCTGCTTATCCCTTGCTCGTGCGCTGCCTCTCTCTCTCTCAAAAATAAATTTAAAAAAAAATTGGAGGGCACCTGGTTGCCACATTGGTTAAGCATCCAACTTTGGCTCAAGTCATGATCTCATGGTTCGTGGATTTGAGTCCCACATCGGGCTCTCTCCTTCAATGCAGAGCCTGCTTCAGATCCTTTGTCCCCCTTCTCTCTGTTGCCCTCTCCAGCACTCTCTCTCTCTCTCTCTCTCAAAAATAAACATTAAAAAAAAAACTTAAGGGGCGCCTGGGTGGCTCAGTCGGTTAAGTGTCCGACTTCGGCTCAGGTCATGATTTCGCAGTCCATGAGTTCGAGCCCCAAGTCGGGCTCTGTGCTGACTTCTCAGAGCCTGGAGCCTGTTTCATATTCTGTGTCTCCCTCTCTCTCTACCCCTCCCCCGTTCATGCTCTGTCTCTCTCTGTCTCAAAAATAAATAAACGTTAAAAAAAAATTTAAATAGGGCGCCTGGGTGGCGCAGTCGGTTGAGCGTCCGACTTCAGCCAGGTCACGATCTCGTGGTCCGTGAGTTCGAGCCCCGCGACGGGCTCTGGGCTGATGGCTCAGAGCCTGGAGCCTGTTTCCGATTCTGTGTCTCCCTCTCTCTCTGCCCCTCGCCCGTTCATGCTCTCTCTCTGTCCCAAAAATAAATAAACGTTGAAAAAAAAAATTAAAAAAAATTTTTAAATTAAATTTAAAATACATGCCTTCAAAATAGTAAGATAGCATGAAACTGCTTTAAGAGGTTTATAAAAATTGGGGCACCTAGGTGGCTCAGTTGGTTGAGTGTCTGACTCTTGATTTTGGCTCAGGTCATGATTTCATGGTTCATGGGACTGAGCCCAGCATGGGGCTCTGTGCTGACAGCACAAAGCCTGCATGGTATTCTCTTATTCTCTCCCCTCTCTCTCTATCCCACTCCCCTGTTCGCACTCATGTTCTCTCTCTCTCTCTCTCTCTCTCTCTCAAAATATATAAACTTTTTTTTTAAGGTTATAAAAATTACTAGAGTTATCTGAATCAGAAGTATTTTGTTTTTTAAATAATAATTTCTGGGTGCCGGGGTGGTTCAGTTGGTTAAGCATTGACTCTTGAAGTCATGATGTCAAGCCCCATGTTGGGTTCTGCACTAGGCACGGGGTCTACTTAAAAAAAAAAAAAAAAAAAAGATATATACAATGGAATACTACTTGGCAATGAGAAAGAATGAAATATGGCCTTTTGTAGCAATGTGGATGGAACTGGAGGGTATTATGCTAAGTGAAATAAGTCAGGCAGAGAAAGACAGATACCATATGTTTTCACTCATATGTGGATCCTGAGAAACTTAACAGAAGACCAGGGGGGAGGGGAAGGGGAAGGAAAAAGTTACAGAGAGGGAAGGAGGCAAACCATAAGACTCTTAAATACTGAGAACAAACTGAGGGTTGATGGGGGTGGGGGAGAGGGGAAAGTGGATGATGGGCATTGAGGAGGGCACCTGTTGGGATGAGCACTGGGTGTTGTATGGAAACCAATTTGACAATAAATTATTAAAAAAAAAAAAAAAAAGCTGAAGGCATCCTAATGTATACTTGAGATAAATCTATCCCACCCATAGAGGGCATTTGCAGTATATTTAATAACCCATCCTTATCTTTAATTCCCCAAAGAATGGTGACCATTTTGTTTCTATAACCAACATTAAATGAAAAACTAAAACTGTTAAAAAAAAAAAAAATAGAGGCGCCTAGATGGCTCAGTTGGTTGAGTGTCTGACTCTGACTCCTGATTTCGGCTCAGGTCATGATCTCAGGGTTGTGGGTTTGAGCCCCATGTCAGGCTCTGTGTTGAGCATGGAGCTTGCTTAAGATTCTCTCTTCCCTCTCCCCAACTCGCACTCTCTCTCTCTCTAAAAAAAAATAATAATAATTTCCTGGAAGGCCTGGCTGGCTCAGTTGGAAGAGCATGCAACTCTCAATCTCAGGGTTGTGAGTTTGAATCACACATTGGTGTAGAGATTATTTAAATAAATAAATAAATAAATAAATGTATGTTTTTTTCCTTTTTGGGGGAATATAGAACTGATTTTATTCTGTGATGGTATTAAAGTGTATCCTAGGGGTGCGTGGCTGGCTCAGTTGGTGGAATAACAATCATTGGGGTTGTGAGTCCAAGCCCCAAGTTGTGCATGGGGCCTTCTCAAAAAAAAAAAAAAAAAAAAAAAAGGACCTTCTCCTCACAAGGCTTTCCTTATTTAAAAAAAAAAAGTATCCTAATAAAAGAGCCCAGTAACAACTTGCCCTTCTTTCTTACCCTCTTTGATAAGAAGTCATTGAAAAGCTTTACTAGAGGACTAGTGAACATAAAGTGAGCTAATCCCATACTTTCCTAGCAGTTTGGAATCAGTTAGAAGTGTTCTCTACATTACTTGCCAATATTGAATCAGAGAACCAAAAAACTATAGAATTCTAGGTCATTTTAATTGGATCTTGTAAATTGATATTTGATTATAACACTTTGACTATGTCTAAAGATCATATCAGCGTGTTTGGGTGGTTAGTCGGTTGGCCATCCAACTCTTGATTTTGGCTCAGGTCATGATCTCACAGTCGTGGGATTGAGCCCCATGTGGGGCTCTGCACGGACAAGGCAGTGCCTGCTTGGAATTCTCTCTCCCCTTCTCTCTACCCCTCCTAATCCACATGCTCACAAGCTCTCTCTCTCTCTCTCACAAAAAATAAACATTAAAAAAAAAAGATCATATCATCTATAGCAATACTATCCAACAGAAATATAAAGTGAGCTATACATGCAAGCCACATATGTAATGTAAGCATTTCTAGAATCCACATTTTGAAAAAAGTGAAAAGTGAAATTAATTTTAATAATGTATTTTATTTAACCCAGTAAATCCAAGATATTGTCATTACAACATGTAATCAATATAAAAATAATAAGATCTTTCACATTCTTTTTTTTGGTATTACGTCTTCAGAATTTAGTGTTAATTTTACACTTACTCAATTCACATAGCCACATTTCAAGCCCTTAGCTTCATGTGGCTAGTGGCCACTGTATTAGCCAGTGTAGATTCAGAGGTTCCTACTAATGACCAGTGCTATGATCCAATGTTGTAGAAACCTCAACCTGTTAACTTAAGTATATCACATACACATATCCCTCACAGATGCACATTTAGGGGAAATAAAATCTTAACAGATACACTCTAAAGAAAAGTCCATTATAACTTATAAAATAGTATCCCAGTGCTCAGTTCAACAACACCTATACTGTAATTGGAATAACACTGAAAGATTAGCAAGGCCTCTGTGCAAGAACGACGTTCAAATTTGTGAAGATTTACTATCTTAAGAAGAGGTAAATATGTGAAGTGATAGACATGTGGATTAACTAAAGGGGAAGGAATAAACGTTGAAAAAAAAATTTAAAAAAAAAATAAATAAAGGGGAAGGAATCCTTTTACGTTGTAGACATGTATCAAATTATCACAGTGTGCACTCTAAATATGTTACAATTTTGTCAATTTAATTTTAATGTAGAAAAATAGTATTCCATTTTTTTTTTTAAATGGACATCAGGCTTGAACTCACAAACTGCGAGATTATGGCCTGAGCTTAAGTTGGACGCTTAGCCAACTGAGTAACCCAGGCACCCCAATAGTATTCCATTTTTTTATCTTAAAAAAAATTTTTTTTAATGTTTATTTTTGACAGAGAAAGAGAGAGAGAGAGAGCAGGGGAGGGGAAGAAAGAGGGGGACAGAGGATCTGAAGTGAGCTCTGCACTGACAGCAGCAAGCCCAATGCAGGGCTTGAACTCACGAATCATGAGATCATGACCTTACCAGAAGTTGGATGCTCCACCAACTGAGCCACCCAGGTGCTCCCATTTTTTATCTTTAAATAAAACATACTTGTATTTTTTTTTAATACTTTACATTTAGAATGAAATAGTGGGAATGGCTCCATTTACACATGCTTACTCAGTGTATACTTTTACAATGCTGAAAGTAAAAGCCACATTAGGAAATGAGGAATTTATGTGATTTTTCACTTTATTCTTTTCTAAAGTTTCTCCTTTCATAAGAAGTCAAAGAAGGCATCAGAATCCCTTGAAAAACTTAATTGGCTAGAGAAAGGGTAGTAGTCTGTAGCTACAGTGAAACCAACAGTTCCTCAGAATAAGACAACTAGCACAAATAAAAAAAAAATGTCTGTAGCACAGAGGAGAGACAGGAAAGATTACAGGCTATTTCACTGAACTGTCAGAATCTTAACCAAGACTGCAATAAACTGATTATCTAGCAAGTTTGTTTGTTTAGCTCTCCCAATGTTTAAAACTCAAATGATTTCATTTAAATCAGTACCTAATCCAAACTATCAAATATCTTCAAAATATGTTGCATCCATTAGGTCATAATTAAACCACTGCTACTATGATTCGACTATGATTCAAAGACTTTATTTGCAACCTGCCAAATATTAATTAGGAAATGTATAAAATAAGCCAACATATTATATAGTATTCAACACTACTATAAAATTAGGCCATGGACTGCCTAATTCCAAATAAAATGAGCCCAAACTACTGTAACTGCTTAAAAAGAACAACTGAAGTTTAAATGGATAGGGTTTAACATTTGGCTATTTAATATTTTAAAATGAAGTCTTTTTATTATCTAAACTAAATCAGGAAGTCAAGGCAACAGTTATTGAGGCCCTCCTGTATTATATGCCATGAAGTATAAAACAGTAGAAGGCAGGATCCCTGCCCTTGGGAGTTTACAATACAAATATATAAAATAGTACCTTTCACTATATGGTGGCAGAGTTGGGAGGTTGCAGCAGAGACTATGGCCCACAAAACCTAAAAATGTAAATGTTTCACCTTTAACAAAAACATTTGCCAACCCTTGCTTTATACAAATTATTCTTCACTAGAGGGAGAAAGAAGTCTAAATATGCACTAGAGTAAAATTTTATTATATCTAGCAAACTTTTAAAAACCTAGTTTTGGGGTGCCTGGGTGGCTCAGTCAGTTAAGTGTCCAACTCTTGCATTCAGCTCAGGTTATGATCTCATGGTTTATGGGTTCAAGCCCCACATCGGGCTCCATGCTGACAGTGCAGAGCCTGCTTGGATTCTGTCTCTCTGTTCCTCCCAGCCTTACGCTCCCTCTCTCCAAAATAAATAAACTTAAAAAAATAAGATAAAAAACTGTAGTTTTCACTATAAACACAGCACTCACTATAAAACATCAGCCTGGCTGATGGTAAAATAAAACTTGTATGTATTAATTCTCAACCAGGGCATATCTGCTAAGGGGAATATATTTGAATATTTAGGGTGGTAAGTAAGCTATTTGTTTAGCAAAAAGGGGGAATATGTTTTAAAAGGTTGACAAAGACTTTAATCATACCTCTATACTGTCCAGCTTAATCATCTTCAACTAACCCATCCCTCCTGGCCATAAATGACTTTGGCTGTTTGCCAAAATCAAATTTACCCACAAAGTAGTCGATTCTCATTATTTGCCATAGTTATGTTCTATAAAGTTGTCATGGATGCTGAATTAGTGAATGCTAATTAACAAATAATAATACTAATTAGTGAATACAAGCAAAATGGCAGGGTTAAGTCAGGTCATCAATACATAACCTTGTTTTATGTGTTTCTGTTTAGACACCTCATTTAATGTACCATTGAACTCCTGGCCAATAGTACCATAACTTGGGCCTGCATGAAGTTTTTCTAACACATGTATTCTCTCTCACCTCACAGCCTTCTTGTGCCTAGGAACACTAGACAGCAAATCAGCCGTATATTGAAACATTACTTTAAACAGTAAAATCACCAACAAAAAGCATAAAATGCAAAAATGCACTAACTAGGTCACAAAAACTTGTTTATGAGAGCTAAAATAAGTTGTAAGCACTGCCTTGCTAGACCTCAACTGGGAACATAGGATTTATGTGTATCCATATCGATATCTATATAGATATAGATAGATATGTATAATATATATATATATGATATATATGATATCTATATATATAGATATCGATATATACATATCGATAGATATGTATAATAGATATAGATATAGATACAGATAGATAGATATAGATATATAGATATCAATATAGATATGTATAATATATATACACTTTTTCTTTCCTACTCTGCCTGTGCATATGTCTGCAAATGACCAGGAAAGCATCTCAAATGCTGATTTCAGAGTTACAAATACATTTTAGAGAGGGCAAATATGAAAGTACAGAATTGGTGAATAATGAAGGATCAACTGTATGATACACTACTACTGATAATCTTCTAAATTAATGATGATCAGTTAAAAAACTGTTTTTGAGCAAAAACAACATTAAGTCCAGTCACCCAAAGTAATGTCTCTGAAGTAATATTTCATTATAAAGGAATATAAAGGAAAACAATGTGGGTGTATTCCATTATCCCCCTCTGCAGAGAGCTTACTACTGCTTTGAGACTCAGCCTCTAGTTGGGCAAATCTGAGCCCCAGCTTGATTAGGTTCTCCTGAGCTCCAGTTCCCATATTTTCCCCAGTATCTCCACTCTATCACTTATCACAATGATATAACCACCTCTTTGCTTATGCCTTACCCACACAGTTGTAACTTTTTTCCCTACAACTTTTTTTTCTAGTATAAAGCCATATTTATAATATATCGCTATTCAATTAACTTTTACTGAGTAAATAATTATGAAATGAGAAATTACAAGGATGCAAAGTATAATGACTATAGTATACAATCACAAGTGGGTAAATTTAAGTAATAAAAAGGTAAAATGTATGCAATTTGCCAACAAACTGTATTTGGGGGTTTGGAAGGATTTTATTTATTTTTTTTAATTAAATTTTTTTTAATTTTTTTTTCAACGTTTATTTATTTTTGGGACAGAGAGAGACAGAGCATGAATGGGGGAGGGGCAGAGAGAGAGGGAGACACAGAATCGGAAACAGGCTCCAGGCTCTGAGCCATCAGCCCAGAGCCTGACGCGGGGCTCGAACTCCCGGACCGCGAGATCGTGACCTGGCTGAAGTCGGACGCTTAACCGACTGCGCCACCCAGGCGCCCCTTGGAAGGATTTTAGATTGCCCTCTAGACTGAAGAAAGGTGTGCTCAGTTGGACTACTAATGAAAGTATAGAATATACGAAGAGTACATTTGAAGGGAAAAATGAGTTCCACCTAGAATATGCCTACCACCCTATTAATGACCCACTCATCTAGATTACTTCCATACTTGGTAATTTTATTGCTTGCTAAGACTGCATTTGTAACTACTATACGTTGTAACAACTTCTTTCTCTAGCTAACTCCCCAACTACAATGTAAGATCATATGGGAAAGGTTTATTTAAATTAAAAAAAAATTTTTTTAATGTTTATTTATTTTTGAGACAGACCCACAGACTGCGAGCAGGGGAGGGGCAGAGAGAGAGGGAGACACAGAATCTGAAGTAGGCTCCAGGCTCTGAGCTGTCATCACAGAATCCCAATGCGGGGCTCGAACTCACGAACTGTGAGATCATGATCAGAGCTGAAGTCGGATGCTTAATCAACTGAGCCACCGAGGCGCCCTGGTTTATTTCATTTTTGACTACTAAAAACCTAGTACAACAATATTTAATTGAATTGAATGTGGATGAAGATGTCCAGAAGAAAGTTGGATATTCTGAACTGGGGGCTAGGGAAAAAAAAAGTCTTATGAGATACCACCTCACACCTGTCAGAATGGCTAACATTAACAACTCTGGCAACAACAGATGTTGGGGAGGATGCAGAGAAAGAGGATCTCTTTTGCACTGCTGGTGGGAATGCAACTGGTGCAGCCACTCTGGAAAACAGTATGGAGGTTCCTCAAACAATTAAAAATAGAACTACCCTACAACCCAGCAATTACACTACTAGGTATTTATCCAAAGGATACAGGTATGCTGTTTCAAAGGGACACATGCACCCCAAAGTTTATAGCAGCACTATCAACAATAGCCGAAATATGGAAAGAGGCCAAATGTCCATCGATGGATGAATGGATAAAGATGTGGAATACACACACACACACACACACACACACACACACACACACACACACACAATGGAGTATTACTCAGCAATCAAAAAGAATGAAATCTTGCCATTTGCAACTATGTGGATGGAACTAGAGGGTATTATGCTAAGCGAAATTAGTCAGAGAAAGACAAGTATCATATGACTTCACTCATATGAGGACTTTAAGATACAAAACAGATGAACATAAGGGAAAGGAAGCAAAAATAATATGAAAACAGGGAGGGGGACAAAACATAAGACA